GGTTTAACTCACGGACTCAGTTCAGGCTCTGTCATTTCTCTGTGCTCAGGCCATAACAGCTTGATTAACCATGGATAAATAAATGAATTATGAGGCCACGCTGGAGCAGCTGAGCCCTGCAGCAATCTCCCGTTTCCAGCTGTGGTACCCAGAGCAGGTGAGTACAAGAATCACCTGCAGAACAGACAAAATTCAAAGTACCACAGCCCTGAGACAGTTCTTGCATTATTTGTTAACTCAATCTTTTCCTTCCCCCTGCCTGCTGCAGAAACTCATCGGCTTCTGACAACCTTTTTTTCCCCCATTTAAAGTGTCTAGTCATACTGCATAAGCATCATAATTTAAACACTGCCCTGTTAATCATCACTAAGAACCCATGCTGCAATGTGCAACCCCGCCAAGACCCGCAGCAGAATAAGGCAGGGCAAATGGGCACAGGCTCAATGCACTGAAAAGGACAAATGTAACCTGCAGTAGTTTGTTATAACTAACTTTAAGTTTGGAGGTTAGTGAGAAGCAAGAGCTGACACAGCCACTATTTAACCTCTGGGTGTTCATCAGTTGCTTGCAATAGACAGGAGTGAGCAGGAACAGGCTACCTGGGGTGGAAATGAACCCGTCTTGCTCTTAAGATACACCAATTTGTACATTTTAAAATTTTTTATTACTAATTGACAATCTAGCTGAAGGAAAAACCAAACACTTTCAGCAGTGGATTTTATGCAGTTGTCAAATTTATATAAAATTAAAGGCTAGTCTGCTTGTATTTCAAGTCACTTTCTGGCTTTCAATTACTACAGAAGAATGCTTGCACAAAACCCCCATTACTATTCATGAGATTATTGAATTTTTCTTAGAAAAGCACATTAGCCCTAAACTTAACCTAATCAACACTTCCTCCTTGGCCATGACAAATGTCACTGATCTGTGATAAAGCTGCACAGAAACAATGGCAGCAATTTATTTGACCTCAGTGGCTACACTGAAGGCAAGAAAGTATTTTCTTTCTTGTGAAACAGAAAAAAAATACTGCTGGGCCACTGGAGATAATTCAACACCCCCAAACCCACACCTTTTCACTGCCTGAACCTAATCTTGCTGTGTCTTATCAGAGTGGACCATGCTTAATTCTAATAGCTTGGTTTAATTTATTTGCCAATTGAGTAACTAAAAAGAGGTATTTTGTGTCACTTGTAACAGGCATGCAAAGACTACAATAACTCACTGTGCTTCTGTATTTTAAAATGCAGAAATCACAATTTTAACATACTGCTTCCTCCAGAAAATTTCAGAGGAGATATGGAATGCATGCAGTAGAAAATACCTTGAAGTTTTGTTAAAGCTCATTTAAATGTGCTGCAGCTAAATCCAAAAATATTCTCAGTAAATAACTGAAACAATGTGAAAACTGGGGATACAGATGGCCAGGTAAGGGCAGACACTGCCCCTCCTGCCCTGCAGAACCAGAGAACGCCAAAATCAGGGTAGCGTGGGCAATAAAGGAAGATTTCCTTTGGTTTCCAAGGGAGCACTCAGTGCGCGGTTGACTCACATCTTTTATTTACACTTGTCTACAGAGTCGTTTTGCTGTACATTTTATCTAAACCCAATGAAACCATAATTTTCCTTTGCCTGTAGCCTATCATTTGCTAAATTTAAAGACTTTCATCTGTTAAGTACAGCAAGTTTTAATACAAAGCACAAGGAAAGAACCAAAAGGCTAACAACATCCTGTCTATCTGATCTGATTTTTACAATTTAGTAGCTGAACTTGGACATCAGAGGCACAGTTACAAGATTAACCTGCTCTTGTGCAATCTACACACATTTAGCATCAAAATTAAGATAGAAAACAAAGCATTAAAGAAACTGCAGAGCATTTTTTTTTCTGCAGAGATTATCAAAATATTTCTACACCAAAAACCATTTTGCTTATTTACCAGTCCAAAAAAAGGATCTAAAAAAAAAAAAAACCAACTGAAGAAAGCAGAATATAGTTTTCAAATTTTGCTCCGTTTGTTTTTGCACAGTTCATTTAGAAAAAGCAGTGGTCAAATACGGGTTTGGAAGTTTTACTTCTGAAATAAATGCTACTATATTGCTGTTTGCTTGCTTAAAAACAAGTTTTCCTTAACATACTTACCTTGAGATGGCACTAGCGATACTTAAACCTTCCTTAACCAAACAGAGCTCAAGAGAGACCAAGTTTTAATATGACACTGCTAGTAAAATAGATTCAATAAAGCATTTTAAGCCATAAATTATGTTTAAGAGAAAAAGAATGACTGATGAAGAACACGTTTAAGATGTCAGAACTTTCTACACAGTTTATTAACTCTAATTTTAAAATATAAATAAAATTCAGATACCTTGAAAATTTCTAGTCAGCCCCAAATGGATTTTACAGACACCTGCAGAAGCTTCACTTGATTCCCAGGAGCTACTTCCACACTCCTCCTTCTCAAGGGTGGTTCCTAAGTGATCCTTTCACAAGGAAGGATCCCAGAGTCCAGGCTTCATGCACGTGAAAATAGGGAAAATGTGAACGTAGCACAAGAAGCACCCATTGCAAAGGGCTCTTTGACTGCAGCAAATAATTTCTAGTGACATCTGTAGCTACGAGACTTGAGCTACCAAGGACAGAGCTCAACGTCTCAAACGTCCTCGCTTGGAAGGGATGATGGCTGATTCACTCTACAGAATCACACCACAGACTGGGGAGCTGATGGCTATTTTCCACTGAGCATCACTAAGGAGAAGGGCATCCACCTAGACTTCTACTTCAGCACACAAAAAATAACAAATAATTAGAGCTAAGTACTCACTGCTGTCACCCAAGGGCAGCAGCAGCCCTACCACTATGCTAACCCTGTGTGGTCCCATACAAGCGACATCAAACAAGCACACGAGCTGGCTGCAGAAAGCTCTTCCTCTATTCCTCAGATATTCGTCACGTGAAGAGCAGAGCTGGACTAAAACATATCCAACCTGTGCCTGCTCAGATGTGTAAGAGGCAGGAATTGAGTAACTGAGTCTTTAAAACTAATAAAAAAACCCCTTACTCAAATAACACTTCACACCTCCTTTGGGGTGTTTATGGCTTAAAATGCTACCTCACTGTTTGTTTCATGAATGAACAAAGCTGCAGTTTTCCAGAAAGCAAGGACAGGCATGCACCTCTATAGCAGATTTAGCACTTCTGACCAAGAAAGACACCAACTTCTTAAAAATGTCTCATGCACTGACTGGATTTGTGGTGGTTTTGGTTTGTTTTGTTTTTGTGTGGGGTTTTTGTTTGTTTGTTTGTCTTTTAAAAGTGAGCTTTAATACATTATTTCTTTTTAGAACTTGTACGGGAACCAGAATGGGAAGATCCAGATGATGATCTGCGGCGTCTGCAAGATATAAATGGAGAAAGCATGCAAAGAAATAAGTTGAAATTAATTTTAGCATCCACTTTGATTAGTCTGTATCCTACAATAACTGGAAGCCAAGTATATCTGATAGGGGCCTTGTAAGAATATATAAATAGCTTTAAACCACTTTAAGCTTATGAATGTGAATTTAATACTAAAATGTAATTTAATACTGAAAGTAGAATACAAATTCTAAATGCACTATTTACTTATGAAAATAAATTGATAATGTACACGTTAAGACTTTCACACACTGAAAGAATGGTGACTCAGGTCTTTCTACAGAACATACTTCTACCAGGAGGAAGTTTCATTGAAGGGAGGGGGGGGGGAAGGCGGGGAAGCTATTACAGAGGTTTTAATAGGAAGTAAGAGTAGGGGAAGTGAAAAAACTACTTTTAATATCAGAATAACTGATCAGGTTAAATTCTTTCCCAGTGAATCTCAGTCCTTCAGAAAATAAAAAAAAAAATAAATCACACATTTCAATACACCCATTCTTATTCTACATAAACCCAAACCTTTCGGGTGACCGTGATCTCGATCGTCTTTTTTTGCGATCAACAGATGAAGAAGATCTAGAGCGACTTCGCTTCTTGTTCCTCTCTGGGGAAGATGACGAACGAGAGCTCGAGTAAGATCTTTTTCTTGGGGTGGAAGACCCCCTGTAGGACCTGGAGCTGGATCTTTATTGATTAAGAAATAAATCAGATTTAATTCTGGTATAACACAAAAACAACAAAGAAAGAACAACATGAGACGGTTTTCACCAACACTTACTACTCTAATTACATCCGTGTTTTGCCAAATAAATTTGATACTTACTCCTTAGTTATCTGCCAATAAACACTTCTACTGCCAGGGTAGTTCTCTTAATCATTTTGCTAAACAGCATTTTTTTATATACTGACCACCAATGGATGGAAACTTCTTTCCAGCATTCACCAAAGTGACGCATTTTGACACTAGGAGACTGGGCCAGGCAGTAGCCTACGTAGGGACCTTCCTCAGCAGTTAAATTCACAAAGCAAAATGGCTTGAAAACCACAGAGATAATGATTTAACAAGGCTTCTTATTAATGGATATCTCACATTGGGCATTTGCAAAGTAGTGTTCAACTTACTAGAAAAGTAAAAATACCTCAGAAGGTATATTTACAAATCTCAAAATAAGTTTGGGCAGAGAGCAAAACCTTTCACAATTAAAGTATTTTAAAAAACCCTCTTACAATATAGCCATTTTGGCATTAAAAAAAAAAATAAATTAGCAGCTCCACTTACAAGCACTCAAAAATCACTTTGGTTATCTAAAAGAACCAAGACAGAAAAACCAAAACACTTGTGGAAAGAGCTAGAATATCTAGAGAAAAGAGCTACAAAGTCCTAAGCTTTAATTCCAAAATTATATAAAAACACTGAACAGGATTTCTTTTTCAGTAAGTTGGGTATTTTAAAAAAAAAAAAAAAAAAAAAAAAAAAAAGCAAACCACAGTGTATGTTGTTGGTAGGCCATTTTCAGGGTTCTCCCTGTAAACCCTAAAGCAGTGCTATTTCACTCATGCTCACGCACTGAGGACACTCAAGGGTGGCAGAAGCAAAGATCCAGCTCAGCTGAGCCGCTTCAGCACCTACCGGGGCCTGGGCACCCTTTTGCTCTTCCTAAAAGCACGGATTCTGCCTAATGTTACAATTCAGGACACGTTTCTGTCCCCAAAGGCTGGTGGCACCATTTGCGACTGGTCTCAACTCAAACTTCCTCATTTACAGCTTTAGCATGGAGATGGGACAGGTCTTCATTGCACTGCCAAGGGAGAGTCCTGCCGACAGGACACCTGCACAAGGACACCTCAAGGGACTCATTTGCTTTTGCTCCTCTTCCCCAAGCTCCTGTCAGCTTCTCGCATGGTTCACTATCAATGTTTTCATACGTTCCCCCCACATTCATAAAGATGTGGCATCACTAGCTAGCAGTAGTCAGATATGTGAAATAAATTATCAGTAAACACAAAAATCAGGAGTATAGTGCATTTTCTAATGTTCTTCCACATCAAGAATCATAGAATCATTGAATGGTTTAGGTTGGAAGAAGCCAAAGTAGAAGCAGTAAAACCAGCAAAAATGACCGAAGCCAGTAAACATGCATTCAAATTCTTCTTCCTTCTAAGTGAAGATCTGTGGCGTCCACTCGTCTAGCTTAGATCAGCCTTAACTCTTCCACCAAAACCTCGCATCTCAAGAAATACATCAGGAGTGGGAACCACCTCGTGCAGAGACCCCAGGAATTCTGACTTCCAAGATAAAAACGAGTTAATGTTTTAAGACCAACACAATTTTACGATGAAATCAACAAGCGGTTGGTTCTTCTGCCCTTTTTTCTTTCTCTGCATGAGAGTGTGCTACCTCATTCACCTTGATTTTGACCCACGAGATCTAGAGTGTTCTCTGGAGCTGGAGCGAGATCTTGATCTGGAACTGGAAGAGCTTCTTGAATGGGACCTGAAACAACATGGAAGGGTTTTTTTTTCCAGTGCCTGACTTTATTTAGCAGAAAAACTGCTACTGTTAGAGCAGAGACAATGATGCATCAAATGCACTTTGGTCTGCAGTCACCAAAAAGTGACAACTTCCTCCTACTCCCCCTGCATTGCCACAGTACATTTTAAAACAAACTTTAACATCATAAGATGGTGGATTAAGAAAACTATAGTTAGCTTTTTATTATGTTTCCTAAAATGGAGAACAGCAATTAAACAGGATTGCAGTTATTTGGCAAAATGAAACAACTGCAGATCTGTTCACTATTTCATCAAAACAATGCCTTAGCTTTTAATTTGTGCCTTAACTTGAAACCCATTAGTGTCTTTGAAAAGCAGAACAGGCAAGAGCATTAGGATGAGCTAGCTCTAATTTTCCCCAAGTCAGCTCTTACAAGCATTTTGTAAGCAATTTCAACTTATCTTAAAAGTTTTTCCCTTGCCTTAAAATTAAGCAAGTTAATTCTTGGCTAAAACATGGACATATCTAACACCACTGGTAACTAGCCACAGTTATTTTCAAATTTTTTCCTGTTGATGGATTTTCTTTAAAGCACAAACCACAAAAGAGCTGTAAAAATGGTAGTGGACTTGCAGTAACCATTGTAAAAAGAAGGCATTGCAATAAAATTCTAATAAGCTTTTCAGGAAAAATACATTATATATGCTGTGCACTCCCAGTTTATATTGTTACCATGTCATTTTCATTTTACTGTGCAAAACAAAAGCAGTATGAACATGTGCTAACTAGAAAATACAGTAAATGTTTTCAAAAAACACAAAGAAGTATCCATAAATGGCAGCTGGTGTTTCCAGTGAATTATCTGTGGCTAGGAGCAAAAAGTTGAACAGAAAGCTGAAAGAGTCTTAGCAAACTGCAGTGACGAGAAGCTGCTTTTTACATCACCGTTAACATTTGTGAATTAATGAAGAAAGTTACGGTCAAAGATCTTCTGCTGCCTTTGACCTTCCCACTTAAGAACTGCACTCCAGCGCGGCCCACACGGCCACATCCTGTCGATGGCACAGCACCCTCCTCAAACCTCAATTCACGTCCAAAAACTGCTGAGAGGGTAGCTCAGTCCCTATGATAAATTGAGTGCTCCTCCTTGGAGCCATGCAGCAAATACTCGTCTCAAGATGGGATGTGAAGGAGTGGGGAAGCTGATGACGAGTATTGTGAAGAGCAGAATTATTCACAGAAGAGACAGCATGAATAAAAGCACAATAGCGATGGGGAGAAAGACAAGTGGAGACGATGGCTGACATCTGGTTAGTATAAGGGTCTGAAGAGCCTGGGCAGCGATCACAGCAGGGAGAGCAGAGGTGCAGTGACAAAACTGGGAAGATTCAAACTTGAATTTTATGTATATGAACTTCATGTATAATCCTATGAGGTGGTACTGATTTGAGGTCTTGTACCTATCAGTACCATCCTTGTTTTAGTTGGAAGGCAGCTAAAAAGCTGCAACACGATTTACATCACATGATTACAAAACATTGATTACTGTACTTAAAGCTTTGTCGCTTGCCATCAAACCAAGTTCAAGTTTATTGTCGTTATTTCCAGGATATTTCTACCCTGTCCTTCACTGAATCTGCCTGGGCTGCACCATCACTGCCCCCTGCTGCCACCTCCTCCCGTTTTAACAAAACCACCCTTCTGCTCCATTTAACAACGCAACACTGCTAAAAATGTTCACCCACTGAATCGCATGTGGCCAACAAGCTTAAAAATAACATTGAAAATAAGATATTTTTTAATTCATTTGAAGGATTCAATTGAAATAGCAACTTAAATTTACTACAAGAAGCAACAAGGCATGTGAAGCTGCCCTGCTGAGGATCCACAGCAGGTCAGAACAGTACACTGGCTACCTGTGTGAACTCAGTACAAAAAATTGTTAACATTATTAAACTAAAACTGTAAGGCAATCAAGAAAAAAAAAAGTAAATAAGGAAGTTAGATACTGACATTTTGCCTGGCGTTACCCTTGACCTGTACCCGTTTACCTGGACCTAGACCTTGAGCTTGAATGAGAGGATGAGCGCGATGAAGAACGTGAGTGGGAAGATCGAGACTTAGAACGACTGCGCCTATTGGATTTCTTTTTCTTATTAGTGTCCTCCTCTTCACTGGCATCAAGATTATATTTTGAAAGGTCAGCATCATCTTCATCCTCATCCTGAAAATAAAATGCAGATATACAAAAAATACTTGAGAAATTATTTTGATAATTGCCTGCTGTTAGTGTTTTTCACTTACTCTGTGGTTTATTTTGTGCTGTTCTTCAACCTTTGAAAGTACTGTTGTTACCGCATTTAATGAGATAAAAAAAATTTAAGAGTAGAGTGACTGAGACTTTATGTTTCAAAGCAAATTACTAAAAAGCCTGCACAAAACCCACATGAAGTCTCATTTTCTGTTATTAAATGAACTTAATGAAAACACAGACATTCATTTTTACCAGTTACTTTAAATGGGTGCCTGGAAGAATTTTCAGACTCAAAATCTGTAACCATAGCATAGTTCTGCAGAGACACATTTAATATGCAGCATTTGGCGACTGCTGTCTTAAAAATAAACGTATACGTATGCCTTTGCAGAACTGTTGTCCAAAACCAGGAACAATCCAATATGTGGTTATTGTGTTATTTCAGGAAAGAATAATAAAATCTCTAAATATTTCATTCAATTTAATAAAGAATAAATCTGACATGGTTTAAAAGGCTAAGAGGAAAATTTTTAAAAAATTCCGTTTATATAGTAACCATACATAAAGGTTCAATATAAATATCTCAAAATATCTGATTCTGATCCTAGATAAGCTTTTAAGTTTTTAGGGTTTAAAAAAGCTGAACATCATTTAATGCAGGTATTGAGAACCAAACCAAGTCTGTGCATGTACTTTACAGAAGCTGTAGGCACCATTATTCTGATAGCAGCTCCTCTACATTGCTCTAAAGGCAGCTAAAAATACAAACCAAACCTCACTTGCCAACAATAAACAGCACTAGAATAATAATTAAAAAATAATTGCTAGGAAAAAACCAAAACACGTTACCTCATCCAATTTATATTTGGAGAGATCTTCATCCTCATCCTCCTCATCTTCCCCTTCAGATTCCTTATCTTCTACTTCCTTCAGGATAGATGCAGGACCAACTGGCTTCCCTCTGTACTTTTTCTTTTTGCGTCCAAACTAAGAAATTATATTCCATTAGAAGACCATATAATCAAAAGTTATTTCCAACTCTATTTTTTGATAAAACTTCTATGAGAAAATAAACATGCATCAATTTCAAGTACGGTACTGCTCAAAGGGAAGGAGAAGTATCAGGAAACGTCAATTAGCCACAAGAACATTTCTGAAGAAATGCTTGTCTTAATACCCACAGACAAGATCAATGAAAATCTGAATTTAACAAAGGAGTATCTTATATTTGTGTCTACAGGATAACTTTATAAAACCATGTTCAACATCTGGCTGAAAACAACAGGCACGACCCTGAAGCCAGCTCCCTAACAAGTTGAACTCAAGATGTACCAATTTAATTTGAACGCATTCTTAAGTTTTTAAGCCCCCAAAAGACAAAACAGCTGTCCTCACTTTCGGTTCAAAACTTTCACACTCAGCATTTGACAGAGATGCATCACACCACGTTTCTGACCTCTGTTGTTCCCCGCAAGGAAACCAAATGCCAACATATGGATCTTATAGCCACGTCACACAGCATGCACCTCTCAGTCACGTGTACCTCATCTTACCTCATCGTACTCCCCGTCCGATTCCTCGCGCTCTATATATTCAACATTCTCTCGTTCATTAAATCCTCCACCATAGCCTTTAAAAAGGGGTAACACAAGACAATCTCTTGAGCTGACTCAAATTCGGCTACATGAAGCACAAGTTGAGAATAAACTTCCACAGAGGATCTGGAAGCCTTCAGTAGGTTAATAAATACATTGCTGTAGGAACACAGTATGAAAATACTACTTTCCCTTTTGAATAAGCTGTGCTCTTCTCCATGTTTCTTTTTTCTAATGTGCATTAGTGTTACACTCCAGGCATTACATTCTCTGCTGACCCCACTTGCAGCGGTAGCAGCATGAACAGTCCTGGCCATGCTGTAAGGACATCCTCTGCTCCAGTTACCACTGCGTGCATCATTAATGCGGGAGGAACTGAAAATGGGTCACTGTGTGACCAAATCCCAAACCTCATTAAGGGATAACAGTCTAATCTATGCGGCCTGCAAACCCTGCTCCCGTGACTGCCGAGTCCTCTGGAGAGGGACACTACATTTACACCAGATCTGCTGGAGTTTAATAAAACGCTGCACTGCTCCTTCCAAATGTCTTGGTATCAAAAGCAAATACAGAGGCGGTTTTAAGCTGAATGCTTGCTGTCTTTGCAACTGAAATCATCGCATACTTTACACACTGCTAAAGGTAATCCAGTCCAAGAACTTACACATTTATCTACATATTAAAGATCTAGTTCTGTTGTGAAAACAATCTCTTTAAACTATACTGTGATTTATAAAAAGAAGTTTTCATACAGTAATCTTTGTAAAACTGCACAACTCTTACCTGTCCTTTCCTCCAATTTAGCGTACTTTGGAGTATTACACATGTTACACTCTGATCTTCTGGCCCAGTTCACATTACCACATCTTCAGAGGCAAAAAGAAAACAAAACAGAAATAAGAATTATTTTATTCCAAATCAAAATGCTTAAGAGTTGTGGCAATACTTAAAAAACCCTCATAATAATGTATTTGCCAAGTTTCAGCAGTGATCTGCAGTCACTAGCCCAACACAACAAGTTCCAAGGCCAAAGCACTGCCTGTGGGGATTTCACCAGCACAAGGACAACGGGAAGGGGATCACAACAAGGGGAAAGAAATAACATTCACAGGCAGACAAGTTACTACAAGTGAGACTGCATATAACGTGTTAAAATTCCTTGTTACTCTCCACTAGCAGCATTCACAGCTCAAAGGAGTTAATGATGACTCCACCATGGGAATGAGTGGTCACTGACACCCACTGAGGCACAGCTACATTTAGACACGTCCTACGTTGCATTTCTATCTTACAGCACCCTAAAAGGCCACTCATGCTTCATCTACCTGTAATGCTATTGCCAGGATGCTGCTGAGGAGGAGGAAGGTCTGCAAGATACAGCCTGGCTATGAACTTGGATACACACGACAGCCCCAGAATGTGCCCTCGGACACTGGGACCAGCAGTGCTGCCCAGAAAACCTGCACAACTGCACACATGGAAACTCATTGGGCTGAACACTGCTACATTCTGACAGAAAAAAAATATTAAAAAATCCAGGTTTCACTGGTCAGTTTACCAATCAGCAAAACTGAAATCCTTAACAGTGCTCCAGAAAATCTGAAAGGATCTTTCCAAAATGAATGGATTTTATTTTAGCGGTCCTTTTCTAATGTAGGTCTTGACATTCTCAACTGATGGCCTGGAGAAACATCTAAGAATTTAACTATGTGCTAAACTGTAGTCATTAAATACTCAGTGAAAGTTAACAATAAGCTACCACAAGCCGTCACACTGCAACCAAGGTGCTACTTCCACCTACACATTTTTTCTGAGCTTTAGAAATGTCCTGGCTTATCAGAGAAAAGCATGAATTTTTATCTTTCTACTCTCGGTGTTTTAGTCTTTTTTTTCCCAGTTATATTAATTAAGTAGCTGTTGTCCAGCAAACAAAACCGCATTCTGTCCTCACAGCAAAACACAACCAGTGGAAAAGCTGCGAGTTGTGACCATTCTTCTCCCATCAGTACAAGCACATTTACATTGACAGAACTAAGCATCGTTCAGTAGGTGTGCTGTGTGGCTCTAAGAGAATGTCGTGCTTTTTACAAGGGCGTACGTTTTGCACTGCCAGTCATTAGCGCTGAAGAGGCCTCGACTCTTTTCAGCGAGTGTCTTTCCTATTTCAGTTCCTCCAGCTTTCATCATTTTAGCTTCTGTCGTTTTTTCTGAAAAAGACAAAAAGCCCATAAACAGTTCATAAACACCTGGCTTTAAATTAAAGATATTTAATAATATAAGATGGAAAGAGGTGAGAAAAAGAAGTATCACCTAGGATACTCACCTCTTCCACATCTGTTACAGCTAGTTCTCCTAGCAAAGTTAACATTCCCACACCTGAAAATAAAAACACAAAAAACCAAAATTGCAGATGCCAGTTACCCCAACGCTGGAAAACACACACACTCTCACACGAGACTTTAAGAAAAACGCTTTATATATTTAAAACTGAATTTGTTGCAAATTAAACGACGAAGTTTCTCGGGCCTCGCCCGATCCCGGAGAGTGGGGCGGGGCCGGAGCCGTCGCACGATGGAGGCCGGCGCCGTGAAACCCTGCCGAGAAGT